GCGCAGGCCTCGAACGCGCGCACGCACGCCCGGCGCGCGCACGCCCCCTGAGCGTGCGCAGTGGCGCCTGAGCGCGCGCATGCCCCTTTGTGGGTCGCAGGTTTTCTTGAGCGAGATATTGGGAGCGGGGGTGAACGCGGCGTGGAGAGTTAAGGGGCTTGTGAGGGAAAGGATGGAAGTGGGTGACAGACTGCTGAGGTAAGAGCAGCTTGAGAACAGAAAGACGTGGAGGGGGAGACGGGTAGACACTTGAGCGCCAGGGTGCCTTCAGCGAGTCTCAATGAATTACGAAGAGTCCAGTCATATCAGTAGCATCATCAGAGAAAGATCCAATTACCTCAGACGAGGGAGCACAAAAAAGAGTGCAGAGACGCTGCCGCCCTTCACTGAACCAGTGGCGAGCCGGGCCTGTGTCTTACCTGCCTCAGGGCCTAGCCTTCTGTCACGCACTAGGTGAACCTTAAATGCTGTTTTGAGTTAATGAGAGAAAGAACGGGTTCTCCTCAGGCTTCGCGAGAAGGTCGGAAGCAGAGGAGAGAAGTTAGGGGAATGAGTCCGGTTCCCTGTCTGAAGGTTATAATGCCTCAGGTTTGTTGCTTTTGCGGACTGACTTGCTGTATATGTTCAGTCTGTTCATGTAATGCCAGTTTTCCTGTCAGCGAAACGGCAGTCAGGTCCTGTCCTGAAGGCATGTTCTAAAGATGTGTGGGAGACTGATTTTTGTTGGACAGTGGAGGGAAAAAAATTGATGTCCTGTGAATACGTGAATATTAATAATTCTGTTGTAAGTCAACTAATGTTCTGTCTTCCCCTAAATCCTGTCTCTGACATAGATACCAGTGCTGTACTGGCCTTTTTTTTCCCTCGATGACCCTTGAAATTAGATATGCCGTAAGAATGTTTTAATTACCCTTCACTATCCTATCATCCATTAGTTTCTCAAATTCAAGGTTCCTGTGTGTTAAAGCAACAAAGCAAATACGAGCATCCTCTCCCCTTTTCGTATACATGGATGTGCATGAGGGGATCTATGCAGATGTGTTTATCTTCTCAAAATGAGTGATTTTAGCTATTATGAGGAAGACATTGGTCGCTTTAGTGGATGTAGAGAAATACAGAATCCTATCCTTACTCTCTAGGTGCTTAAAATTTAGCTAATTAATTCACATATATTGAGCACCTACTGTGGTCCATACTTTGCTATGCACTGGGTTGTAGGGATGAAAAAGATAGGATTGTTGCTCTAAAGGAACATAGAGCCTGGAAGAGGAAACAGATACGTGAATAAAGAATCGTAGTGCTGTCAGGTAAACACCAAAGCTGTAGAAACTTGAATCAGAAGGCTTTCTATAGGGAGGTGTTAGAGATATATTTTGTAGTACAAGATGAATTTTGTCAGGTGAAGGGAAGATAGGGTGGGTGAACATGTGCAGGAATATTTTGGCAAGAGAAGGAAAGACACAATTTAACATGGGTTTGGGAACTATGCAGGTCTGTATTTAATCTGGCGCCACTGCATTTGAGCTGCGTACGGCCTTGGACAAGTCTCCTAATCTTTGTGAGCCTCTGGTTTCTTGTCTAAGGGATAACATCCTTGTGGGCCTACTGTGAGGGTTAAAGAGGTGTTAAAGGATGTGTTGAGTACTTTACATGTTTTTGATATATCCTTTAGGAAGAGAATATTGGCAGCATTTTTGGAAAATGGGTTGGGGGGGAGAACAAGAAAAAAATGTATGGAGATCATTTAGGGGCTGTTGTGATAATTCAGGTGAGGGGTAATAAAGAGGTAAACAAGGGCATGAGCGGTGAAGTTTGGGGGGGAAAGGCAGGTAAATGGAGACTAGGTAGTGAAAATCAGCAGGATTTGCCAACTAATTGAATGGAGGTTAGAGAGTACTGGAAAAGGGGAGGCACCTATGATTCCAGAATTTAGGGCTGGGCATAAAGGGCGTTTAACAATAATAGGCACAAGGAATGTAGGTGTTGGAGCAAGTTTGGAGAGGCATGGAGAAAATAAAGATGAGTTCAGTTTGGTTTCTTTGTCTGTGATCGATTAGAATGAAAAAACTCCAGGTGGGAATAGTGGCTATGTAGAGGCAGAACCACTGATAGCAGCAGATTGACAACTGAGAGCCGGCGTCAAAGGAGGAGAGAGAAAAAGGAGAGAGAAAAACTAAAAAAGCAGACCCGTGACTCAGTAATAAGTACATTTTACCCCATAGAGACAAACGTACTCATATAAGAAATGTTTCACAACTAAATGCTTTCCCACCCTTACTGTATACAATGAACTTTAATATTTTCTATTTCATTTGAGAATGCCAGTTGTAACCCACTATTGATTTCATGACCAACCAATGGATCAAGGCCCAAAACATCGACGTACTGTGACTAGAACAGTGTTTTGCCGTAGCGTATGTTCAATAAAGGTATTCAATGATGCCTTTCTCCCAATAATTGTTTTAAAAAGTATATTTATTCTTATTGACACAGTACACTTGTATTAATAATTTAGAAATTTATCAAAAAAGTAATGTGTGGTAAAGAAATTCAACTTTATGCCGTATCTTGACTCCTCACCTAAATAAGATGAGGAAATTAGTGCCCCGTGCTCATTTTGTCTTCCGTTCTTTCTCCCCATTTCTGACACCTGTAGCGTTATATTTACATTGTCAAGTTTTTATAATATTTGTATTCTGTTCCATAACTATAATGAGTTTAGTGAGCATTTTCTGTTCCTGATTTCCAAACTTAAAACTTAAGTAAATGGTATTTACAGTACTTTGGTTATTTACGGTACTCACTATAGAACCAAGTTGTACCATTGAATATGTGAGAAAAGGATATATAATTCTATGTCACTAGATGTGTGTGGCCAGGTGGGGCATGTTTCAAATGTCAGTACCAAATATTTTCTTTTTTATGCTTTGTAATTGCTCAAAATTATGCCATGTTTAATTTTCATATTTGGAGTATAAATTTCTAATTTAGTTCTGTGTTTTGCAGGGAGTTTCTGATTGCCTGTATTTTTCCTTTTTGGCAAAACAAGAATATGCTTTTATCTTAATCAGTGGATTTTTGTCTGTTGAAATAAATCCACCTTCTTCTTGAAATCACTCCAGCCCACTGCTCCCTCTGGTCTGGTTGTCTTCTAGCCTGTGGTATAGCCGTTGTTCTGGGGTTCCTCTTGCTCTGCTTCTGAATTTGGGCTGTTTCTTGAATCCATTGTCTTTTCTCCTGGATTTCTTCCTTCTTTTCTTTCCTTTTCTTTCTTTCTTTCTTTCTTTCTTTCTTTCTTTCTTTCTTTCTTGTTATCTTATTAGTGTGTACTCTCAAGTAACTGTTATTGGTAGAAAATATCTATGAGGGTGAACTTTTTAATGCTTTATGCATTAGAAAATGGCTTTACTCTCATAATTCACTGGTAGCTTGAATTTCGAATTTAAGATTATTTTTGCTTGTTCTCCTCAGAACCTATGACCTCCATTCAATTGGAAGACTGGTATCTTTATCCATTATGTCTTTGATTACTTCTTTTCCTTTCTGCAATTCCTGTTAAATAGTAAAAATTCTAGATCGATCTCCTATGTCTCAGCATTTTTTTCTCATTTTCCCCATGTCTTTGTTTTTTCCCTTACTTAAGGCTTCCCCTAAATTGTTTTAATTTTGATAATCTTTTTATCAAACATTAAAAAAATTTTTTTGATGGAGGTAATTAGGTTTATTTATTTATTTTAATGGAGGTACTGGGGATTGAACCCAGGGCCTCATGGATACTGAGCATGCGCTCTACCACTGACCTATACCCTCTACCCCAATTTTGATAGTCTTAGTTTTAATTTCCAAGTATTTTTTCTTACTTCTCTGGTTTCTTTCCTTCCCAAGCAGCCTGTTGTTTTATAGATACTACTGTCTTCTTGAATTTGTCTGAGAAAACTAATGAGGATTTGAAAAAAATCCATGTTCTCTAAATTATAATCATCTCAGTTTCCTGCTGGATCACTCCCCCCATCCCTCTCTTTAAAAAAAAACCCTTCTGTTTTGTATTTTGGCTTTTTAAAATGTTTGATGAACCTTTATTATCTGTACATGTCTATGAAAGAAAGTATGATCGCTAAGGGGGATTTCCTTTCCTTTCGTAGTCACTTTGGGATTTCACAGGAAGAATGGATTCTGTTTGACCTACAGCCATGTTCTCCGAGTGTTGTATCTGCTGCTATTTTGTCTGTCCAAACTGTCCCATCCACTCTCTGTCTTCCAGAAATCAGTCAGATCTCTTTTCTCTTGCTATCAGTGCTATGATGGCTTTCTTTTTTCCTGCTTCTTTACTGTCGTATAAATGAGATTTGAGGAAGAAAGATAAATGTGTGTGCCCTGTCTAACACTGAATTTTAACTGATGCTTGTTACTGCTTATTCAGCTCTTAATTTTCTGTTCTGCTTTAAAGAGAACAAGATAGACACTTAGCTTTTCCTGAAAGTACTTGGGTGCTGAAGGCCTCAGATCCGCCCAGTGTCTGGGTTTCACAGTTCCATTCTCTTTGCCTGTTTCAGGCCTCATCACAGCTTTGTAACTTCTCAGAAAGATGGGGTTAACTTCCTTCTTAGCATTGGTTTGGTGTGCTCTGTCTACTTAATTTCTATGTGTCCCTTTTTATTGAGAATGACTTGACTTTCTGTGCCTGTGTCTCTCTAGCAGTCATATTTATAAGATACTTTTCCAGTAACTTTTCCTTTTTACCTTGGAGAACGGGGAAGATTAGAAAAGGAAGGGAAAAAACGGAGCTGAGAGCTACCTTCCGAGTCTGGGGAAGTTCTGAGAGTGTTAACATTGCTGTGGTGAGCAAATGAATGATTTCTCCCGCTTCATGAATGATTAAACTGAATATGAAGCTTCTTTCAGCAGGTCTGCCTTCTTACAACATGGCCCTTGCTTTTAGAGCATCTTTACCGCTCCAGGATACCCCCACCTCCCATCTGTGTGAACATTTTAACATTCATTTGAGCAGAAGAGTTTTAGCAAATGGGATGGAGGTGGGTAGAACTAAGAGAATTGTATGGCATGTTCTCTGCCCCCAAGGAGTTTACAGACTGGCTAGGATGCTACATTTAGGGCACACAAAACAATAATCAACTCATGACAACACATAACTAAGTGTTAAGTTATATATTAACTCTATAAACATAGTAAGGGTTCTGCAGGAGTCATGAAAAGTTAGGCCTTGTGTGGATGGAATTTGGGTGGAGAGAAGGAGACAATCCAGAGAGTGAGGAGGTCTACGGGAGCCCAGGTTCAGAGTTAAAATAAAGGAAGACTCTGGGGAAGTGGATGAGAGGACGGAAGGCTGCTAGAATGGGTAGGTGGGGGTCAAGCTTGGAATACTCGAGACAGGCAGCAGGGCTGCACAGTGACTTCTTAAAGAATTTTCTCACCTACCAGAGTAGGTGTGCCAGAGAGTTATAAAGGGATCAGAGAAGTAAGTGTGGGGTCCAGAACTAGAAGTCAGGCTTGAGGATGCAGTGTTTTTTGACCTCCTCTACCACTCTACTTTTTTCTGTTTTTGTTTTTGGATAAAGAAGTTGGAGAAGGCTGAGGGAAAAGGGAGAAAATGTTACAAACTGTTAAGGGAAGTCACTAATATTTAAAAGTGCAATCTTAGAAACTGTAATTACCATCATGTCCCATTTAGGTGATTGCCCACAGTCAGTATCAAAAATCCAAAAGAATCTCCATCTTTCTGAGCATGCAAGATGAAATCGAGACCGAAGAGATCATCAAGGACATTTTCCAACAAGGCAAAACCTGCTTTATCCCGCGGTACCAGTTCCAGAGCAGTCACATGGATATGGTGAGGTTAGCATCGCCCGAGGAAATCTCTTCACTTCCCAGAACATCCTGGAATATTCCTCAGCCTGGTGAGGATGAGGTTCGGGAGGAGGCCTTGTCAACAGGTGAGTGTTACGGTGTTAGAACTGGCGTCGGAGGATGCTGTCGGCTGTGAGGGGTCGTTATAGACCTCTAATCCATTTGTTATGCTTGGGTCACTTTTTCTACAGGGATCAATGTGTATTTCACTTATATTCCAAGACACTCACCTGGCTTAGGGTAAGATGTCCTCTGTAAGTTGTGAAGTGTCAACTATAATAGTAAGGTATTAAGGTAAAAGGTATTGTTGCCTTTTCACAGACTCTTGCTGTAACCTGTGGGTTGATTTATACATTTTCCCTGAATAATATTGTCATTTCACATGGTTTAAATTATGATCTGTATGTTAATGAGTACATTATTATTAATGTTAATAAGCATTTATGTCTTCAGTTCAGACCTGTCAACTACTTGAATATCACACGGGCATCTCAAACACAACACATTCCAAACTGAATCATGTTTCCTCAGCCCCTACTACCATGTGTCTCTCTTCGTGCTTAGCACCATCAGCTGCCTACCCACCTGACCGTGCCGGAAATCTCAAGATCATCCTTGGTTCGTCTCCTTCTCTCATGCTCCATGTGTGGTCTACTGCCAAGTCCTGTTAATTTTACTTATTGAGTATTTGTTGAATCTGTCCGCTTGTCTCTAATCCCACTGCTACTCCTGCAGTCTAAGCCACCGTCTCCCCTTGCCTGGGTTATCGTAACAGCCTCCTAACACTTGTTCCTTTCTATATCTTGTCTTCTCTACTCCCTCTCAATCCATTATCTGCATAGAAATTGAAACAAGATTTCTGAAACACCAAGCTGAGCACTCCTCTCTTCTATTTAAAGTCTCTCAGTGACTTTCTGCTATGCTTAGTTTGAAGTAAACACTCCTTAACCAGCCTCTTCCTGATGTGACCTTGCTTTATCTTTACATTTTTACATCTGTCTACTCCCTCACTTTATAGTCTAAGTTCCAGCCACTCTGAATCTGTTTCCCAACCTCATTCTAAAAAAAACCCTGAAGTATAGTTAATACACAACATTGTGTTAGTTTCAGGTGTAAAGCAAAGTGATTCAGTTTTGTATACAAATACTTTTTCCATTGTAGGTTATCATAAGATATTGAATATAGTTCCCTGTGCTATACAGTGAATCCTTGTTGCGTATCTATTTTATATATAGTGGTTTATGTCTGTTAATCGCATTCTCCAAATTTATCCCACTCCCCTTTCCCCTTTGGTAACCATGTTTGTTTACTACGTCTGTGAGTCTGTTTCTGTTTTGTATATAGATTCATTTGTATTATCTTTTAAATTCCACATCCACGTAATATAATTTTGCCTTTCTCTGTCTGACTTACTTCACTTAGTATGATAGTCTCTAAGTCTATCCATGTTGCTGGAAATGGGAATATTTCATTCCTTTTTATGTCCAAGTAGTATTCTGTCGTTTATGTATACCACATCTTCTTAAACCAGTGATCTGTGTATGGGCACTCGGGTTGTTTCCAGGTCTTAGCTATTGTAAATAGTTCTGCTATGAACACTAGGGTAGGTGTATCTTTTCAAATTAGGCCAACCCCATTTTGCTTTCTCTACTGCTGGACCTTTATACATGCTGTTCCTTGGACAACAGCCACTTGGGAGATTTAATCGTTATCAATCAGTCTCAGAGCTGGAAGCAAAACAAACTAAGGGTACTATTTTGTAATACAGTCCCTCAAACTCATCCTAGAGGTGTACATTTTTGATTAAGACTTAAATAGTTACAAAGAAACCCCAGCGAAGCTTTATGCAATCTTCTCTCAATTTTCCTTTTCAATGTAACAACATAACCTGTAAAATATATATGACAGTTTGAGAAAGGACAGAATCAAGGGCTCATGGTAATAGGGGATATTTTATTTTGCTACATTTTCTCCTTTATTATCCAATCCTATGCTTTGCTAGATATTTAGGCACTAGAAGTACACTCAGATCTACCTCCTTCATGTCCTACATCAGTAGACCAGATGAATGCTGACATTATAGAACTTTTTCATATCTTCAGGAAGAAAGATTGCAAGCATTTTAAGACAATGAGATATAAGGGGGTATAGTGTATCTTGGGAGGTAGCCCAGGCTTATAGATAAGGAAAGATAAGAATTTTAGGCTCCGACATTGCTCACACTTCATCACCTACTTCTCCAGACTCTCAGGCTTATGGGTGGAGCTCAGGGTACTTTCCTAGTTCTGGCTGACTATATTAACAGTTCCTCCAATTCTTGCATCATCTCTGTACTGTCCCTGCTAATTGAAATGCTCCTTGTTATCCACTAATCAGTGTCTCCAGAGGCAGCCCATTGTCTTTGTAGAATAGCTCTGCCCCTTCTAGTATATATTCCTTAGGTTGAGCTAAAATGTGTCACCCTGAACCTTCATGCATTTATTCTATTTCTATTTAAGTACAGTGGTGGGAAGAGTAAGGAAGAAGCATGATCTTTCTACTTAATTTAGCTGTACTTCTCGGTTAGGATAAACTCAGCCCAAGTAAATGAGCTAAATCATTTACGTATGGGTTTTAACACATCATTTGACACATAGGAGCTAGGTGGTAAATGGTAACTATTATTAATTTTGAACAAGGAAGGCAGGGTTATTCATTATGCCATCAACTCAATGCTCCCTGAGTGTTTAATATTTTGATAATTTCCAGAGCATCTACTTTGTATCAGACACTGTATTAGCTCTGGAAAGATAAAGTCCTGGATGTCAAGGGGCTCACACTCTAGCTGGGGAGACAGAAAACGTATGTAAATAGAATGAGCATCCCTACCTGCAGTATACGTCAAGCATCAGTGTCAAATGAAAAGATACAGGATATTAAGACTAGAAGTTCAGGACTTGGCCGTGAATAGGAAAACGTTCACTCAAAGAACTGTTTATTTTTTTTCTTCTCCATAGCATTTATTCATGCTGTATTTGTGGACAGGTTGCTTTCTCTCCCCATATATTTTTCTTTGCCAACACTTGCAATCTGGGTTGCAAAGGGATAGGGAATTATACCTGTATTTCTTTTGTTTGTGTGTTTGTTTTTGGGTATTTTTTTGGGGGGGAGGAAGCAATTAGGTTTATTTTTCTTTATTTATTTATGTTTTTTTTTAATGGAGGTACAGGGGGTTGAACACAGGACCTTGTGCATGCTAAGTGTGTGTTTTACCACTGAGCTATACCCACCCCAATGCCTTTAGTCTTGCAGCTGCAGTCTGGGAGCTGATTCGCTTTGCTGTTGTTTCCAGAAACGTTCGAGTAAGCAGTCTCCTCTGTTTGTTGTCTCCCAGCATCACGTTCTGCACCGTGGACTTTCACTTGCATCAGCAGTTTAGAATGTGGCGTCTTCAGTGCTGAAGCATAAATCTAGCTTCACAGTGTTTGGGACAAGCTGATTAGAGCTCAGATTGTCCCCAGGATAGCTTGTGTAGCCTGCTTCTCTTTCTGGTTTGCTCACGTTATCGCAGCTTATGAAAAAGTGAGCTTTGGTGTCCTTAGTTGCAATGATAAGTTTCTAAGCAAAAATTTCACACAGGGTATTTTTGTATTATGTATGTGGCAAAATAACAGATGGGTAAATGAATTAGAGGGGCTGCCTCTTTATTGAATTTATTCTCAAAGCGAGGACTGCTTGAGCAGTTAGATCAGCCAGCAATCTTTCCATTGAAAGTACATAATCTAATTCAGTACGACTTGAGCAAAAAAGAGATTTTATTGGCCCAGAGACTGAAACCCACAGAAGGGCTGGCTTTTGATGTGGTGGGATCAGAATTATTAGAATCTACTCTGTCTCTGCCTTGTCACTCTGCTTTCATCTGTGTTGGCTTCATTTTTTGGTGCCACAGGTGGCCCATGGTAACTCCAGGTTCTACAGCATCCTTACTAGTAGCAGTCCCAGCAGAGAAGAGCATGTCTGTTTTCTAACAGTCTTGGTAAAGTCCTGGTCTTAACTCTCATTGATCCACATTGTGTCCAGTGGCTATTCTGAAGTCAGTCACTATGGCGAAGGACATGGACTCGGCTGAGTGACTTGGGCCTGGGTCTTACAAGCCCATCCCTGTGCCATTCACTGTAACCAGGGAGAAAAGATGTGCTGACTGACCAGATGGGGGCCTGTGCCCGTCTCTGCAACCCAAACCTCTGAGCTGAGAGTGGGCTGGGAGTGATTCACCACAGGAAGAACAAGTGCTTTTTCCAGAACAAGAGGAATGGATACTGGACAGTCCAAAATCACACTCACCTATGCTGTCAGTCATTTTGAAAGTTCTACAGACTAGAACAAGCTCTTTGCAGCCATAACTTTGTCATTGCTGATTTTCTATTTCTGATCTTTCTGGAAGCTCTTGAGGAATTCATACCCATGTGTGGGTACCTGACACATAACCTAAATAAATAAGTGAACATAATGAAGATTTTCTAGTCCTCAGCAAAAGCATTTTAAAGTAATTGAATGGAGCAGTGTTGAGGACAGACTCTTTGAACATGACGTTTAACTTCCTTGTAGGTTGTTCATGATCAGTCCTTTTTGGAGGGGAGGTTAGGATTGGTTCACGGAAGTAATTCCCATTAAACTGATCTCATTTCTTTCTTTAACAGAGTGGCATGGCATCTGCAAGAATATAGTTGAGAGAGTGGGCATGAATTTCATCAAGGCATTTGGCAGAGTCATGATATCCTTGAGGACAGGCTGAAGGGATTTGGATTGGATCATAATACTTTATTCAGAAAACATTTATAGAGCACCTCTCTGTGTGAGGTGTGATGGGGGTGGACCAGGCACAGGACGGACCTGGTCCCCACCATCGTGAGTTAACTACCTGTTGTCCTCATGGAGGCCGGTTTGTGCCAGCACATCCCAGGCACTCTCCTTTGTGCTGTCCTGTTCAGCTTTTTGTTTCCGCTTAGATGTCCCACTGTTCCTGGACTTTAGTGTGTCAGAATTCATCCTTACCATTGTCTTCGTGCTTTTCATGTTTCTGTTAGCAGCCAGTTTGTGAACACAG